CTCAGTTATGCTCTTTCTATTTATTATAGCAAAAACCAGTGATTTTTATTGTGGATAATTTCCTATTTGCCTTTTTTGCTGTAGCAGGGAAGAAATGGAGGTAGAGTTCTTAGACTGGATAGCCTTGTTTCAGCCAGGATCCCATCAGAGGGTATGAGTCTTTATCTTTGCATTAAAATAAAGTTGAAGCATATTGTTAGGATTTAGGTTTTCCATTAATAAAAAATTAAACCAAATCCTAATTAAGCTGTCATTCTGCCTTTTGTTGACTGTCCTTACTATATGCAAGATGCAAAAATTCAGAGAGCAAATCTATCAGAATATGATTTAGTGATATGATTATGATTCTGTGATTATCACTTGTTTTCACTTTGTATTTTTATATCAGCATGAGAAAAATAAATATTTAATATCCCTGTGAAATGTGATAAAACTTTTTTTTAGATTTTCGTGAAGAGTGACATGCTTGAAAGATTGGGAGTGGGAAGAGAGATTAAAATTAGTGTCTTGAAATACAGATGAAATCTGTTGCATGAAGGCAACGTGCACTATTTTATTGCTGTATATGCATAACATTAGCAAAATAATTGATATTAGTAAACAGAATTACTTTTTTTTTAGAGAAAGGAATATTTTATTTTACCAGCATCTCACTTAAGATGCTTATAAACAAGAATATAACAATTTTGATCAAACAAACAAAAAGAAAACCCCCCAAAAATTGGAAAATATTTTGGGTGATATCTCTAACTTAAAAAGGAACGAGAAGAAGAATGTCATAGGATGGCTGCTGTCGACTAGGCACAAAGACCTTACAGGTTGTGTTCTGATTCCTTGCATCAAAAGCACTTCCAAATGCTGCAGCATCCTTCTTAACATGCCTGCCATCCCAACTTTGCTTTCATTCTCTTTCAGTTCTCAGGGCAGTAAATGGCATACTTATTTTCTCATTCTAATTTGTCTCTAAGCTGTCCTTAAGAGCAAATGGTCAGTATTGGATATTAGAAAGGCATTTAGCACACTGAAGGCTCCAAATGAAAGATGTTTGGGCTGGGAGGAGGGACGTCTTTGCAGCATGCTTATTCATGAGCACTCTTCATTCTTCACCACCTTCTTTCCATAATAAATACATTATTGAACCTTGATTTGGTCGGGTCTTCGAAATTAGCATCTCATTTCATGACTCATGATAGGAGAAGGTAGGCTGACATTCTCATATTAATCATGCATATGAAGAGAACTAATGTGCCAGGAGGGAAATACCAAGTTTCCATTGCACAACTGTATTTTACCAGTCCTTCCCATGAACTGGTCTTAGCTGGTCTGCTGGAACCACAAAGCAGTTGGTTTGTGTATCCTTAATAATAATTTATCTGTGAAGAAAAGGAAACAGCAGGCACGGTTGCTATCAGTGTTCCTGCAGCTGAAGAACCTGTCTTCCTCCCACCCCATTCCTTGAAAGCCAGCTATTTTCTGTTTCAGCCTCCCTTTCAAATTAATAACCTGTCAAACCTCCGCAGCTGACTCGCCTGTTCTGAATTGTCTTGTGGAAAATGTTTAGCTGTTAAAGGGAGAGAAATTTACTTTTGGGGTTGGTGTTGTCCCCCCGCATGAGGTGTTCTGGAACTGCAGGGGGATGGCAAGGCTCAAGATGTCTTTTCTCAATTGGAAGTTATTTTAATCATTGCAGATCTAAATCATAAAGACTTTTAGTTGAGGTTTGTTTAACTTGGGCTATACGTGTCCAATAACTAGTAGTTCAAAGGGAAGTGCAAAGCCCGGCCTCTGGGGAGGAACAGCCCCAGCTTGGCTGAAAAGCACCTGAGGCTTCTGGTGGGCACCAAATTGAACATGAACCAGCCATGTGGCCTTGTTGGAAAGAAAGCAAATGGTATCCTGGGCTACGTTAGGAGGAATGGTGCCAGCTGATAGAGGGAAGTGATCCTGCTCCTTTATTCAGCACTGGCGAGGCCTCACCTGGAGTCCTGTGTCCAGGTCTGGTCTCCCCTGTAAAAGAAAGACATGGACATACCAGAGTCCCATAAAGAGTCAGGAAGATTAAGGGGCTGATGAGAGAAGGCTGAGCTTGGACTGTTCAGGTTAGAGAAGGCTGAGTGGGGGAACTCACCCGTGTATACAAATACCTGAAGGAGGGTGCAAGGATGATGGAGCCAGGCTCTTTTCAGTGGTGCCCAGTGCCAGGACCAGAGGCAATGGCACAGACTGAAACCCAGGAGGTTCCCTCTGAACATCAGGAGACACTTTTCCACTGTGAGGGGTACCAAGTGCTGGCACAGGTTGCCCAAGGAGACTGTGGAGTCTCCATCCTGGGAGATACTCAAAAGCCTCTGGGACACTGTCCTGGACAATGTGGTCTGAGTGATCCTGCTTGAGAAGAGCAGTTTGACCAGATGAACCCCAGAAGTTTTGTAATAAGCAGCATTGCTGCTGGGAAAGCTGGAATGATGTAGGCTTTGCTGTTTGTTTGAATTGCATCAGCTGAAGCAGTGCTCTTTTTTTTCTTCCTTTTTCTTAACAAGGGCTAGAAAAAGTAGGATTAATGTGTAAAAGTAGTTTATGAGCTATACAAATAGGTGATAATTTAGAGAGTTTAAACATGCTAAATGTCTCAATAGCATATTGTGAAATAAAGAATAATAATGTTTTACAGAATAATGAAGCTTCACAGAAAACCAAGCAATTAATTTGCCTCTGTACCCACATCATCATCAGAAAAAATACTGAAGTAAGACCATGTGCAACCCCCCACAATGGCTTACAAATACAAGTGGAATGTCTGTACTGCCAGATTATTGCATTTCTGTGTTCTGTTTTGTTCTTTGCTGCCAGAAGCTGCTGTTTTACTTGTATTACCTACATCATACTGTTCTGTCAAAATTAACATGTGGCATCTGTGACAGTGAAACTTAGTTTGTAGTATGACAACAAGAATAGGTTTTTGTTAACTCTAGATCTGTGGAAGAGTACTTGAGATCAAGAAAAGTATCTGCATTATTTCTCCTACTTTAAATATTTTGGTTTTTTGACATTTAGTCAAGTTCCTGGCTTTTGTATGTGACTTTGTGGATATTTTAGATCATTTTATGACCCAAGTTACAATTATATTGTTTTATTTTTCAACCTAGCAGCTTGTTTTCAAATTTGGATTTTAAGGGATTGGATCAAGGTTGAGGGGGAAGAACTATGCCCCTTTAACAGCAGCAGATGTATTGCTCCCTGATTCTCTGTTCTGCAGCCTGGCAATGCTCAGATTGTAACCTCATGTTAACAAATGTGCTTAGAAATATTGGTAGAGTAATGCAGCCTGACAGAGTCTATTTATTTGCCTGCTGTACATGTGAACATTGCTTTATAAGCTACCTTTATCATATGTAGTACATATATATATATATGTATACATATATATATGTATACATATATATATGTATCAGTGTCTTCAGAGGAAGTGCCCTTGTCCTTGAGTATGATAACTTGAAGAAGGATATTTCATGTGAAGTTGTCTGAGTTAGCCCTGAATTTCAGTGTCTTGATAAAGTGTTTCAGGCATGTCTGAAAGAATATTCCAGTTTTCTCAGTTTAATCTCTGTTAGCACAGCCTGTTCATGTGGAACACTGCTGCGTTTGATTAGATACTGTGTGTTTATCCCACTGTCAGTTCTGTTTAGAGGTGTTTTATTACTGTGGTTTGGAAATTGGTATATTAATGAGCTAACATAGAACAGAAAGTAAGTTGGAACTTCTGCAGGGAGAAGAATTTAAATAGATAAGATTTATTTTACATAGGATTAAGCCGCTGTCACTAGAAGTTGCTATGGCTTTTAATTGAAGTTTTCAGTAAGACTACAACTTCCCCTGTACAGCATTTTAGACTGACTTTTAAGAACAAAAGTTGTCACTCCTTACTTCACCAACTTCTAATATGCCTTGTTCTTGGAAGAAGAAGAGATCTGTACTATAGAGTTGAGCTCATGTTGGTTTTGAGGATCTGCATTTTTGGAGAAGAGCCTGTTTGCATTGAGTTCCTTAATACCTTATTTTTTAATTTTTTTTTCTTTTAGCATAAGTAATTTCAGGCAAAATGAGTGAATATCAAGATTATTGGCTCTTGGTTATAGAAAACTGCCATTAGGGTGCTGCTGAAAAGAAAGTAAAGGCCTTCAGTATTTCAAAATCAGAGTATCTGACTTGTTACAAAGAAATTGTAGCTATGCATAGTTTGATCTTCAGGTTTCTCAAACACTTCAAGTATATCAAGTGGAATTGGACCTAAGCTAGCATCAGTCATCTGAATAAACAGTTAACCTAGTAAGTATAAAGCAAAATATTTGGATTAATATTTGAAAACAGGTTAAAATAATTTTCTGTTGTGTTTTCACTGTACCGGGAAAGAGATTTGCATATGCTGTGAAAATAAAGGTGGTACTTGTTTGCCAGAAGAACGTAACTATCTGCAAAAGCACCAGAAGTACTTGAATGTGTTTAAAATTTTGCCAGTAGTAGAGCTAAGAGATTTTCTGAGCTTTAAAATCTGTGTAGAAGTTACTTGTATATGCTCAAAGCCTACTTGTATCTCCTGTACCAACATGCAGTTTCTGATATTCTCTTGCTGGTGTACGTATTTTATGTGATTTGTTAGAGAAACGGATAAATGAGAGCAGTTTTCAAAAAATAATTTGTTTGCAGTAGCTATGTGTTTTTAGACAATTTCCATCATGTTTCTGTCCTTTCAATAACAGAGTTCCTTAAAAAGATATGTTGCAGCTGTGATTTAAATATTCGTTTTTCTTCACAGGGTGCTTACACGGAACACTTTCTTCTAAACCCTGGCTCTGTATTTATTATTAATAAAAATATCTGTATTTGTGGCTGAAATGTTTGATACCAAAAAAAAGCATTGGCTGTATACCAGACTTCCCTGAGCACTCATCTTTTCGATAAAGGTTTTTTAGCAAGAGTGTTTATTTTCTTGTTTTTTGTAGCAAATTCTGAAATCGAAGTCTCTGTGTCTGCGAGAAATGTGAGAAGGTTGCTTAGTTTCCAGCGATACCTGAGATCTTCCCGTTTTTTCCGTGGTATCACTGTTCCAAATTCTTCAAACATTTTAGATGATGATTATAATGGACAAGCAAAGGTTGGTTGCTTGATCTTTATTTTTTAAGTATGTTTTTTAAAATGCTTGCTAGTATATATAACTGTATCACATGTTGAAAGTACAACCAAATATGAGTTTTAAGCATGTTTTTTTATATACTTATGTGTATGTATTTTTGTGTGTTAATATAGATATATCTTAATAGATTGCAACAAACTCCTTTAATGTCTACTAGTGTACTGGGATGGTTTTTGTGGCTAGTGTTTTTCTTTCTTTCTTTCTTTTTTTTTTCCTAGTAACTGGTGAATGAAGGGTGCACTCTAAAAAAATGAAGAAAGGAAAATGTATCTGTATATAAGAAATGTAGTGGAGCAATTTGGACAACTGTTTTCTTTAATTTTTAGTCTAACATGGCTAAAGAACATCTGAAAGAGTGACTACCTACTACTGCAAACTCAGTAAAATGCAGTAAATTGTTTTCTCAGGACATGTTTATGCCAAACAGACTTTTCCTTTGGTAGGCAATTCTTCTAGAAAAGAAAACTGTGATAGCTATGTGCGGGGAAAACAGGTACTGGGAAAAGAGGTAGTGTTAAGGGAGCAGCTACCTGGATAAAAGACTAGTGTGCTGGGGACAAAGGATGGATAGTGCTGAAGGAGACTGAACAAGCAAAGATGATTCAGGTTATTCAAGATCCCAAAGGCTGTGTGTCACTGCATTTAGTGCTTTTTTATTTGTCATATTGACACAAAAAAGGAATATACTTACACAATGGACGTATCCTAGCTGAACATGACCAGGCTGTGGTGTAGAAAAAAATCTGATAACCTGGAGGATGGATCTTAAAAATGTACATGTAATTTAATAGCAAAGAGAACTTGTTAATGCTCTTGTTTTCTCAGGTAGCAGAGTTTTAATGGCTAGTAGAGAAAAGCTAAAATGCTTTTTGCATAATTGGATTATAAAACAGCTCTACCAATCTAATGAGAATAGGAGAAGGCAGGAGTCTGTCGTAAAATGTGCTGGACAGGTATTTCTCATACAGGTAGGGGAGGCAGAGATTGGGATTACTGAACTCTGGTGAGGCCTCGTGTGATGTTTGGTGTTCTTGCTGATCCCTTTTGCTGGAAGGACAGTTCATGTGAAGCTGCTGAGAAGACATGCTAGTTCAGTGAGGTGGAAAGTCAAAAGCTAGGTTTGTAAAGAATTTAAAATGCATTATGGCTCATATAATGGGTCAAATGCAAATGGCTCACATATCTAGTAAATCATCTAGATACTGTTTCTCTTCTATAAGCAGGGAAAAGACAGAAAATGAGGTCAAAGACCACAGATTTATTTTCTAGTTCATTGAAAAACTGAAGTCTGAATGCAGTGTCTTTCTGTCATTATTTCTGTTTTTAACCTTATTGTTTTAAATTGTGTCTTACTTCTTTTGAGAACTTGACTAAAGGACGAAAGGAGAATCTCCAACCAGTTCTGTCAAGGCACTTCTCGGGTTTTTTCAGTTTTTTAATTTGTAAGATGCATTGTAAAGTTTTTCAGTTATCAGGCAAATTTAATTATTTTTTACTACTATTTTTTTTTTGCATGTAGAAATCCTAAGACTTGATCTGTCTCTTAAATCTTAAATACTCCTCCAGGTTACAGGAAGATAGACATACGCTGATTAAAAGATGACAGCTTTTGTGTTTTCTTTCAGTGTATGCTGGAGAAGGTTGGAAATTGGAATTTTGATATTTTTCTGTTTGATAGACTGACAAATGGTGAGTTTACTTTTGCTATTTCATTTGTGTTTTATCTCCTAGCATAACTTAACTGTGGCACTTGTATTGCAGTATATGATTCACTAAAAAGCACAAATTTCATCAGGTAGTACTTTTTGGTTTAATAGTGTTTAATCTAAGTTGTAGTTTGCCTGGTCACTCCATTAAAATAATGATGCTGTCAGTGCTGATAATAATGATTGATTTGTAGAAGAGCCCCTTCATGTACTTTGTACTTTCTGTTCTCTTTCAGTAATTTGTAGTAGTAATTTGATATAAATTAACAAATCATTTCACTGTCTTAGACTTTTTTTTCAGTTATGGGTTTGCTGCTAATTGATATGCTTGTATCCAAAAGGTCATTTATATTGAACAAGTATTTTTCTGATAAATTTAAAGTTTGATAGTTCTATTGCTTTATAGTGCAATAAGAAGGCACGTTGGTGTGAATGCATTATAATTAGGACGTGTAATAGAATACCTGGAGAATTAGGAGTTGAGGAGAGAGAAGCTGCTGTATTCACTGCTTGCACAAAATAGAAAAAGGAAGAGAGCATCATGGTTAGTTTTGTGTGCCCATTACAAGTAGCAGTAGGAGCTACAGAAGTATTTGGTTAAAAAACCGCCAAAGTATTGTTTAATTTATGGACAGACAGAAAAGAGATTTGTAACAGTGCTGAAAAGGAGAAGGGAGGGCTGCTGCAGTGTGTAGGGTGAATATTTATGTCATAATCACAGTGATGGAAGCTGGATTTTGAATAAAATGGAAGGAGGAGATAAGTAAGTCCAGCGCCACAGCGACGTTTGTGACAGTGTGGGAAGAGAATGAAGGGCAGCTCTTGCAGGTCTTACATCATATGGAGTAGGTAGCAGAATTGCAATTAGAGTGTTTAAAGTTTTGCATCCTAATTAAGTAATTTTAGGAGGACATTTTGATCAGGCAGTCTCGTTCTTGAAAGTTTTTAAGGGCAGAATGCTGTATATAAAACTCTACTGGATGAGCTGCCCTAGATGAACCTCTAAGAAACAAATTACCCAGTAGATGTTCCAAGAATTGCATAATTCATTATGAGGAAGTGGCATGCACATGGGAATACATTAAGCCCAGTAATCAGCAAGGTTTAGCAGAAATTTTTGTCCTTTTGTACCTCAATTTCTGTCTATGCTAGCTTCTTAAATGCTAAATGAAGATTGTCAGCCATGACATTGTTTGCAGAGCAAATAATGGGCAAGCTATTTCAAATAAACATTTTGGGCTATTCTCTGTCTCTTGCAGTTTTACCTATTTTACCATTGCAAACTATTATAATATAGCTATGAGTAGGCGAAGGATATTGTAAGCTTGTAATAGTATGCTTTTCCTGCAGAAACTTTTTCTTAGAGTTCTGGGTAAAATAAGGAAAAGTTCAGCAAAATACATGACAAAAATGAGAGCATATTTACAATGTGAGCTAATCAATAGTGTTGACTTTTCTCTTTGCCTGATCATTTTTGTATTTGGCTTTCAGCTGTCTGTTTGTGATATGTTGCATAAAGTTACTTATAAGGTTGAATGTCATTGTAATGGGTTTGCATGTTGAAACCTATTGACAGTGGAGAGTTGGTAAATTTATTATCATTAATCAAAACCCCTGGTTATTACTAGAAATAGCTAATGGAATCTTGTCATGCAGTAAGATTTAAAAACTTGCTTGTATAATTTTTGTGACCAGTTTGTTTGAAATAATACATTTCTTATGAAAGAGTCACTGATTTCATGGCTTCCAATGAATTAGTATTTTCATCTTATTTTTAGGAAACAGTCTAGTCAGCTTAACCTTTCATCTGTTTAATCTTCATGGACTAATTGAACACTTCCAATTAGATACGATGAAACTTCGTAGATTTTTGGGTAAATACAGCTTTTTATTATGATGAATATTGCTGCTTTTTTATACCTTAACTGAAGTGCTGGTTGTAGTTTAGCAGTAAGGTTTGAAGGGTATTAATGCAGTCCAGATTGTGCAGTGATTTAAATTATATTGATTGAGACAATTTCTCAAAGTTTCTATGAGTACAGAACTTTCTATGTTAAATCCAAACAAGAATTAACAAGTGTAGTAGTTCCATAGCTGGTGTTGTATTCCATTTATTAAATCTAAATAATCAGAAATGTATGTGACATTTGTATTGAGAAAGGCTGGACAGCTCCTTTCTTTTAATATTCAGTTCTGCATTGATCTTTGCTTCCCAGTGATATAGTTGCCTAACTGTATGGAATATGTAGATTGGCTGGATTTGCTGGTGCCAGTTTGATGCTGTCTCTGGCTTGCTCAAACTCTTATACAAGTAAGCACTGTACTGTGGGCATAGTTTCTCCCTAAGCAGAGTGCAGGACAATTTTACTTGAACATTTGGGCCTGCAGCACTGAAATACTTTGATGGAAAGAACTGTAAATACAACATGGAATATTCAAACCAAGAAGTACATTCACTCAACAGCTGAATGAGCTGTCTTTCTGCATCCCTATGCCATAGACAGGCACTGGTGTACAGCATCTTTCCATTGGTTTTGCTGCGACAGTCAGTGCCTTTAATTTTGTGAAGTGGGAATGATGTTTTTAACTGAGCAGGAGAAACAAGTTTCTGGTCCATTTTAGCAGGCTTTCACAGTTTCAGAGAAAACAATTCTGTGGTTACAAAGTTTGTGATTTAACAGAGGAGAAATCACATTTGCAAGGCTTTTCTCCCCTTTCGAATAAGGGAATGTTTTTGTTTTCATAATTTAGTTCTCTTTCAGCTTAAAAAAAAAAAGATTAGTTCTATCTTGCATTTCACGTTGCTTCAAAGTGGACTCAATTCCTTCCAGTTTCAGAAGTGTAAATTGGCCAACCTTAATGACTGATATATTGAAATGTGAAGAAAATTATTATAGAAATCCAGTCTTAGACTACTTGAGTTGTAACTGAGTGTGGTTTGTCTTTCTCATCTTGCTTATCTTCTGGTTAGTTGAGATTTAGCAAATCATAGTACTTGAAATGAAAGACTAGTTAGGAATTGGTTAGCTGGTTATCAAAAGATAACTAATAGTTTTAACTACATATGATTACTCAAAGTTATAAGTCACTAAAATGAGATTAGACTTGGAAGAAGGCAAAATTTTATTCTAATTTTGAAAGTCACCACCTTTCCCTTTTGTTAATGCCTTCTACTTAATGTCACTGAGAAGAACATTTCTTATGTCTGTCCTAGGACATCTGTCAAATCAAGGAACCTTTCTTCCAAATGCAGCTTTCAGCATGAACGCAGTTCATTCTTTTCTTTTGCTCCCTCTTGTACTCCAGTCCACAGTAATCTGAAGATCAGATTCTGGAAGACTAGGACAGCACAAGTGGTCCATAGTACCATATAAAATTCACTTTATTTGGGAATTTACTGGAATCTTTTTAAGTAGAAAAATCTGGTTTTAGTTCTCAGTAAGATCTCAACATTTTATTTTTGTATATATATACATATATATATGTTTATACACATACATAGTCTTTCAGTGATTACCAAAGGTTACTTGGAGATCTGCATCCTCCTACTGTGTGTTTCCAAGTTCTTATTCCAAACCTGAACAGGGGGAGAGAAAATATGATGTACTCTATTCCTGAAAACATAGGGTGATTGTGCTATTCTAGTTCAGACAAACCACGATCAAAATTTTGACCTAGGTCTGCTTTACTAAATAAGTTAGAAAAATTGTAAACTTCGGGTAGCTTGTAAAGCCACAAGAAAATTAAGGACATCTGCATTCGTGCACTTGATGTGAGGAACAGGTGGGAGAGAGTTCTACTGCAGGTTGATAGAGCTCAAAGACATTTATTTTCATCATTTTTATATGAGCTGTCAGCTATGCATTGAGTAGTTTAGAGGTTATGTGATGGTTACAGTATTTTGACTTTTCATGAACCACAGCTCTTCACAAATACCACGTCAGTAATGCTGTAACAATACAATCACAATTACATGGACTGTTTTGGCTTGTCAACTGAGTAGAAAAAGAGATTGTAGGCATGTTTGTTTGATGGGACTGACTGATTGTAGTCAACCAGGAAAATATTCTTTTAGGTTTGCTTGAAAGAACTAATGTGTTGTATCAGGCCAAACCTTAGAATGCAGTTTGATTGTTCTATTTCAGATCTTTTTCCCCTCCATCCTTTTTAACATTATAGTTCTTTCATTCCATGTACTTGACCTAATGTTGATGCCCTTTAAAGAATTCTACCTATACTGTTTGAAGACATCCAGGAAGATGAATGAGAGAGGAGAAAAGCAAGGAAGAAGTTAAATAGGGAATATTGAATCTAGGAGTAGTTAGTCAGACCATCATCTAAACAAGATTCTTTTCTAATTTGCATGTAGGCTTAAATTGTCCTGAGGTATAAGATGCCTAAAAAAGCATAGAGGTGGCTTTCCATGACCACTTTCCTGAATGGGAAAGAAAAGCACTGCATATGATAGAAATGCAGTGCCTAATTCCTCTGATTCTGTCTGTTTTCAAGGCCTGATATGGGATCCTCCTGATGCTTTGGTAAACAGCATCATCATTTTGTATTCAGGATTGCCTCATGGTTTGGACAGTCTGGATTATCAAAGGGAGTCTTCTCTGGGAGGGTCTCAGAGTCTCTCAGATGATATACTGATTTCAAGTTGTTTAATTTTGCTCTGAGATGACTTCACATGTGGTTGATTTCCTTTAGAAAATACTATTTCTTCACATAGAAATGGTATATCTGTGTTGTGGTTCAGCTGATGATTTACTGACTGTGATGTTTTCATGTGTATGTGATTTGGGATATTGCTTATTTCTGTGCCTAGTAATGGAATATAAAATATTACTTTAAAAAACTGTTATTTTATTTATATTTGGATATATGTTATTTTCCTGCAGTTATGGTTCAAGAAGATTATCACAGTCAAAACCCTTATCATAATGCAGTTCATGCTGCTGATGTGACTCAGGCCATGCACTGTTACTTAAAAGAGCCCAAGGTAAGGGAGTGTTCTCACTTTCATATCACATGTATGTAGAGAAATATGTGCATTTGTGTGTGTGCATATGAATGTATTGTGTGTGCATATCACAGAATCATTTAGGTTGGAAAAGGCCTCTGAGATTGAATCCAACCTGTGACCCAACAACACCATGTCAACTAGACCATGGCACAGAGTGCCACATCCAGTCTTCTCTTGAACACCTCCAGGGACAGTGGCTCCACCACCTCCCTGGGCAGCCCCTTCCAATGCTTAACAACCCTTTCTGTGAAGAAATTGTCCAGTGTCCTCATGTCCAACCTGAACCTCCTCTGATGTGCCTTGAAGCTGTGTCCTCTCATCCTATCACTAGTTGCCTGGCAGAAGAGGCTGACCCTCACTTGGCTATGACATCCTTACAAGTAGCTGTAGAGAGTGATAAGCTCATGTATCTATATATATGTTTACGTACATGCATACGTATGTGTATATGTATATATACTTTTTGTTACAAGTAAAGAAACCTAAGAACCCAACAAGACACAGTTTTGAACTCTCTATTGCTCTCTCTGTTGCTGAGGTTGTGGGTTCACACTTAGCAATGTGCTTTTCTTTTTTCCCCTCTTCTGAGCTGACACTGTTTTTTGTGTGATTTCACATTGGACCAGAGTAGGGAATTGGAGCTGTTTAACATAGTGCTGTGCCCCAAGACATTTGCATAGAATTGTAGCCTGAGTCAGAGCTGGCAATAATAAACTTGTGTATTTATCATTTGGGGTGGGTTTTTTCCCCCAGAAACTACTGTTACCCTTGCTTTGCTCATCTTTGATGTCACTGAATAGGATGCTGCTGCTAGAGGCAGTTGGTAACATTACATTAGGACTTCTCTTTGGCCTTTCTTTTTAAGAAATGGCAGAGTTACAGACATTAAGGAGCTGAGCTGGTTGAGTGTTTGTTCCTCCCTACTTGGACAGCTGTCAGGCTACTCTGAGTGATTGGACAATTTTAGGACTAAATCCTATTCTTCTGTATTAAATTGAAAACTGCAGTGCTTTGTAGCCAGGTGAGGCACGTTATCTACCTTGATGCAGATTATCACCGGTCTGGTACTCTCTTGAATAGCATAGCTCCTTATTCTGCTTCTAAAGTAAAACCAAGTCAGTTCTGGCTCCCTCGATGTTTTTCAGGGGCTCTTTGCCCACTCCTCCCACTCAGTTTCTCAGCGCTGCTCTCAGATCAGTTGGTGCAGTGAGCCAAATCAGAGCTGATACATGATGAGCTTTTTTATGGCATGCAGTTTGGAAGCTCTGAGCACTTTTTATTTAATACTCATGATGGAAGTTTTGTGATGTTTTAGATACAAGTATAGACTTTGTATTTTTAGTAACATATACAGCTACAGATTCTGTTGCACCAGAGTGCTTTGTAAACATGTGAGGCATGATAGATGGCAAATGCAACAGGGAATATAAACTTCTGTCCACACGGGGTGTTTGCTGCATTTTACCTTTGTATGGGCAGAATTATCATCTCTGTTTTAGTGTAAGCTAGACTTTCTGACTAAGTCTAACTCACAGACTTCCCAATCGTAAGTAGTAACAGCTATGAGCAGTGAAAGTAAGTCTGTGCAGGTGAATGCTGAGTTAATTGACATACACATACTTCTTGAAAATATTTATTTGTGACAGAAGTTCCTCCTTTGTTTCTGGCCCTGCTAGACTTTTAAATGTAATTTCGCATAAGAGTAGAAATCCATTCTGAACAGTTCTAAAGTCTTCCAGAGCATTAATTTCTTCCCTTTAAGAGGAAGGGTTTTTTATGCTTTCTAAAATATAGTATGTATTTTAAGCAGAATTGACACATACAGATGGACTCGGTACATGACAGGGAGAGCTAATTTTAAGAATTTGCTGCTTTTATGGGATCTGCTTAGGAATAGTACTTCATTACCAGACAGAAAGTAGGATTTTGTGTGCCAGTGTTGATTTCAAGACTGAACCTTCTCATTCAGAAAGAATAATGCTTAAACCATTGTTGAAATTTTATAGCTTTGAGTGGGGCAATACTGTGCAAAGTCAGTGGAATATTAGTTTTACATCTTCAAAATTTTCTCTGAATTTCTGTTGGCTGTTAATTACTAAAAACCAAAAATGCAACACTCGTGCACTTTCTCTAAGGGCATACTTGCATTACTAACATTTATTGGTTTTACCTTGCAGCTTTCCAAATCTTTAACTCCGTGGGATGTTCTGCTCAGTTTAATAGCAGCTGCCACACATGACTTGGATCACCCAGGCGTTAACCAACCTTTCCTAATTAAAACAAACCATTATTTAGCGACTTTATATAAGGTAAGAACAGAATCAGTTGTTTTGTTAAAGCCTGGTTTGGAGAATGCTTGAGTAGTACAGAAAAAAGAGTATAAATTGTGATGTGTTTAGCTAGTGGTAGGTTTGAATCCAGACATTGTTTCCATGCCACTGTGATAAAAAAATGTGCAAATTAACAGCATATTTGGGGTTTGTGAGTTTTAACCTCTTTGGAAACAAAAAAAAAAAGAAGGAAGAAATAAAAACACCAACTCCAAAACACAGCAAAACTTTCTGGTCTGCTCTTGGTATACAGCTCTGCAGTTTAAGAAAAAGGCATTGACTGATAGGTGTTATTCCCTTTTAATTCGCAGAATACCTCAGTATTAGAGAACCATCACTGGAGATCGGCAGTGGGGTTGCTGAGAGAGTCTGGTTTATTTGCACATATGTCATTAGAAAACAGGTATGTTTATACCAAAGAGTATAGATTACTTTAAGACGCAAGCAAGCTTGTCACTTAAGTAAGACAGCCTTGCAAAACAAGATGAATTATTGCATGGCAGTTTTGAATACAAAATGTAGATGATGATCTATTTTAAGAATTCCTGGATACTGTGCTGGTGGAGTAGAGCAGTTCGTGGTGCAACGTGATATCCGGAAAATAACATTTACTGTGAGCACATTGAAGAAGTGTGTTCATGTAGACAAGCACCTGTTCAGATTAAACTTGGCAGCCTTTTCTTGTTCTGCCACCACAACTGTAGTTTAAAATAGACCCTCTTCACCTACTCTAACAAGAAATAATCCTGAGACAATTAGTTTGTGCATTTTTAAGAACAAAAAAAAGGGACGGGTGGGGAGAAAAGAAGGTAAAAGCTGTTTTGAAATCTTCTTGAAAGCCACCAGTGAAGTGTCCTGGTGTTTCTGTGGATGTTGTAAGACTTTTTCAGCAAAAGAAAACAAACAAACAAACAAAATAGTTCAGTGAAAATGCTGATTATAAAGCTTGTATTTGTATAATAATAAATATGATAAAAAGACATCTCAATCTTGTGAGGAATGTTCTTAATTGTTATGCTTTGAATGTTTGGTATCACTAATTTCAGGCAGCTGATGGAAAGCCAGATAGGCGATCTCATTCTTGCCACAGACATCAGTCAGCAAAACGAGTATCTGTCCATGTTTCGATCCCATTTGGATAGAGGAGACCTATGTTTAGAGAATGCAAACCATCGGCACTTCGTTTTACAGGTGATCTTTTTGGGGAATATTTTTGAAAACATCATTTTAGAGTAAAAATAATTTACTTAAAAATGCTAAATACTACTTCTGCCAGGCTTTCTCCTCCTTTCAAAAGCAGAACTATCTTCTACTCATTCAATTCCCTTCCCCAGCACTTCTCCCAAGTGATGGTGAGTGTTGGTAAGTCTCATAACTTAAAGCTACTAAAGCAAGGAGAGGTGTTTTTCCAAGAGAGGGTTTAGCTTTTCTAACAACTCCATTGCAGCCTCAGAATTGTGAAATGCTTTGTCAGAACATTTTTTGGGAAAGGAAAGCACTACTGTTGTGAATCAGTTTGCAGCTGTGCTAGTGAGCTTTAACAAACTTTAAAAACAAAAACCTTGAAATTATTTTTAGATTTGTAGACATTTTCTTATTAGGTTCATATTGTGGACTGTAAAAAAAACTTAAACAAACAGATGAGGAGTTCTGTCTTGTGCAAACCACTGCTAAAAATATGAGCTTCAGAGCCAGAAATGGAAAATACTGTTTGCTTACTTTGATGTTTCTTTTTTCTGAATTTTTTTTGGCTCCTGTACCAGTGAATATACTAAACATAGTGCCCCTGAAATACTTTGACTTGCCTGAATTTCCATATTAGTCAGGGATGATCATGAGATCTGATAGTTCCCTGAGTGTTTTTTAAATATTGCGCAAGAGAGGTTTGGAGCACAGATCTTTGGTAGGTTTGTTATTCAGAAAAGTTAAAATAATCTGCTGTAAGGAAATAAATAATTACAGGTGCTTCTGTTGAAGGGAAAGATGGTCTAACACTGTGTGTTAACTTGTTAGATGGCTTTGAAGTGTGCGGATATTTGTAACCCCTGTCGGACGTGGGAGCTGAGCAAGCAGTGGAGTGAAAAAGTAACAGAGGAGTTCTTCCATCAAGGTAGGAGTAGAATTATCTGTTAGTATACCACTTATTTATAGCGTGGAAAGAGCATCATGAGTCCTAGTCCATTTATATTTAGGAGTAACAGAGATGTACAGTGCAGTATGGGATTTTTTTTCCTTTCATGGGTTGTACTTCTTGCAAAAGGTCGGAATTACTAAAACTCATTGAAGAATCTGCTTAGAAACTGAACCTAGAATGGCTGGTGCAACCTGAAAGGTGCTTCAAATAAGTAATTATGCCTCCTTTAAATTTACCTAGTGGCTTCAGTAAATTATGAAATATGTTCATCATGTGTCTTCAGTATTTAAACTTGAGCTGTGAGGCCTGTTGGTAAGCAGGTGAGAGCCAGGGAGGTTTTTAGTTACCATGCAGTTACGACTACTTATATAAGCAGTTAATAAAGCTTGTAATTAACAAATGGGGTTAATTTCCTCCATTGTTATTAAATTTTAATAATAAAACTAAGGCTAGTTTAGCTGACTTGAGACCTGCTAATTTGCACATGGATATGATAAATGGGGAACAGACTGCTTTATTTGCTGTTATCCACATGAGGCTTAATCTTTGGTAAAGGTGATGGGGAGGCAGAACCACAAATTGTCTTTGGCCAGAAATTTCTGAACGCTGAGCTATTCTCTTCTATATTACTAAGGGGGGATTTTAATTTGTCATTTCTATGACAGTCTAGGAAGCTTTGTGAGGAAGAGGATGTTAATCATTCAGTAAACTTAGTGGTTCTATGTTTTTTAATTAGTGTCTTATGAAAAATAGTATTTAAATACAGTATTTATAAATACTGTTAGTCTCACTGACAGATCTACTTGGATTTTTTTGGAGATGGGGAGAGAAGTAAATGCATTCTACCATCTGCAAGACACCATCCTGGCACAGCTCACCTCTTTTGGTGTTTGATTTGAGTCTGGACCATATGACTTAACGGTTGTATTATACTTTTGTTTCTTTAGGTGATATTGAAAAAAAATATCACTTGGGTGTGAGTCCACTTTGTGACCGACAGACAGAAACTATTGCCAACATCCAGATTGGTAACTACAGTTCAATTTATTTCAGTAGATTTCTTTAGGATGCAATTTGAAAAAAGGACCTTTTGGGTACATTTGCTAGAGGCTGTACCTGCTCTGTGTGTGTGTGGCAGCACTTCATAACAAAGAGCACTTTTATTTCAATTTGCTGTATAACACTTCTGGCTTGAACTGTTTACAAGAGGTACTGCGCTGACAGTCTTGGAGACCTGAGCCCCTCTGTTCCCTTACAGAACAGGTACAGCATGGGAGGCAGCTGTCTGACTTCTCCCTGAACTGCTGCTGCCCAGAACATTCCTGGTCTGAAGTGGCTATTTTGGGAAGAGGAGGGTTCCTTCCCCTTGCTATGTGGTCTCGGGTGCCTTTTGCAGCGAGATTGCCACAATAGGCCTCTAGCTCACTGGGTTTAGCCTTCTGGAATGTCAGCATTTCCTTTAAATGCAACCTTTAAAGAGGGTGGTGGACAGAGATTTGATGGAGAATGGTGAATAGCCATTATATTAATAGTTTTTGTTAAATTCAATTCGATTTAAAATAGTAAAATGTCCTCTTATTAAAATAAAAGTTGCTTATGTAGGTTGAATGGGACTCAGTTAAAAGCACAGTAAAGAAAAGAATAAATTTGACCACAAACACAGTATTAATTATGCTCTAAATTGACACAAAAGCTGATGTGTTCAATAAGATGCACTGGTTTAATTTAGAATGTTAGGAAAACATACATTTCCATAATTGACAGATTCAATTTTGGTCATCTTACCCTTGAGTTTTTGGTTCATGGAAGTAGACAGTGCACATAAGAGAACATGTGTATATGCACAAAGTTGTATATAAACACACAAACAAGTATATAAATGTGTGTTAATGTTTTGTGGCCTTGTTTAAAAAATTTCTAGAATTTATATTTTAAAATACTTTTAGCTGGCTTAATATTGTGAAAGTAATATATTCTTTTTTTCCCCGTGTAGTATAGTTCAGACTGTCTGTGAGGTAATTCATTATAAAATTCCCCATGTTCCTCAATATTTTCCTTTATTTGGTCATTGCTGTGAAAGAAAGAGAGTTAATTTGTATTCCAGTGTATTGCTGCTGTTCTGACTGATTAGTAAAATCTTTTATATTTTGAGAGATTATTTTGTAAAGATGCCCTAAATATTGAAATGGATTTTTAAATGCACATTGGAGAACAGTAGTTTGACAGATTTTGCTGTTAAATTCTATTTAAAATATTGAGGTTGAGGATTTTAATTTTTCTCTGGGTTTGTTTTCTGGTTTTCATTTGTCTCTGTTTGCTTGTTTTTGAAGGTTTTATGACCTACTTAGTGGAACCTCTGTTTGGGGAATGGGCCCGGTTTTCCAACACCAGGCTGTCACAGACAATGCTTGGCCACCTGGGACTGAACAAGGCAAGCTGGAAGGGAGTGCAGAGGGAACAGTCTGGCAGTGGTGACGATGTTGACCCTACTTTTGAGGAAATGGACTCAGACATATTACCTCAGGAACCTCGATTGTCCTGACCTCAGTCCTCATGACAAAACTGCCTCTTCTATTGGTATCTGCACGGTTGGATTAAAGGAGATACGTGCCAGCCCAAGGTTTTAGTGAAGTGGTAAAATGATGCCAGCATTATTTATTTCCAAGTTTTCCTTTGACACAGACCATTTGAACCAGAATTTTTTTAAGCCGCAAGATTTGAACATAGAGCAATATGCACCCACCTCAGCTGGTTTTCGTTCGGAACCTTGAATATGCAAAGCACAGCAGTGACTGAGCCTTGGAGCAACAGGACGAAAGCTTCATTGTGCCACACATGGCTTGGGTTTTTTGGTGAAATTTGGAATACGGTCTTCAAATCTAAAACTTGAGATGGATTGTTCCACTCCCTTGGAATTTAGCAAGACTTGCATAAATGTGTTCAAAGCATACCTTCCACTCAGTCCCTGTTTTAATACGGAAATGTGAAGTGCCCATCCTCTGCTGCCTCTGGCAAGACTTGATGTTTACAAATGTACTCTGAAACTGTCGGTTCTAGACTTAACCTTTGCGCATGGCTGTGAAGGAACCACTAACTTCAGTTTTTTGCTTTTTTAAAAGAAAAAGATCAAATCTGAGACTGCAGCTCTCTTTTCTTTGGATGCCAGAAAAGCCTCCCATTTGCCATAATTTTGTTTGTGCACTGGGAGCTGAGCATTCATCATAGAGCACAGCCAAGCTTTACTCCAGTGCTATATGGGAATGCAATTTTTTAACAGCAACAAAACACTTCTGAATCTGGGAAGGGCGGGGCGGGGGTGGGGGGAAGCGTCTGAACTGCATTGCGATTCTGCAGTGGGAACATCGCATGTTGTTCTCACTATTGTACACTTGAACTGCACATGCAAGAAAAAGGTGGAATGTCTAAACACCATAATCAGCTCAGGGTATTTGCCAATCTGAAATAAAGTGGGATGGGAAGCGTGTCCTTCAGAACAAGGGTACAAATGCCCCTTTCGCTGCAGCGTGTGTGTATGTGTGGGTGTGTGAGTTCGTTTGGGACGGGGAGGGCGGGAGGGCTCGGGGAAGGGTTTGAACGGCAACATTGTTTTCTTTTATTTTTTTTTAATTTATTCTTTTAGAATGTGACAATTTCATGAACAGCCACACTGGGGAGGAAACTGTAACAAATTGCTACAGATGCCTTAAACTATGCACAAAGCTAAGTGACCAAATTTGTTTTTGATTTGAAAAAAAAATAATAAAAAAAGTGCATTGTTTACGTATTCCTCCCTCTACTGAAACATTACCCACTGATGGGTTTTTGATGGGAAAAGGAGAAAATGTTTTTTAGGACAAAATTAAAGGACTAATTTTAAACTTAAAACATTCCATTTTTGTAATTTGTTTTACATTGTTTTAAGTACAGTAAGCACAACTGTAATCTAGTTTGAGAAACTGGTGCTTTCTTTTAGTTCATTTGTATTTCCCTGTTATTATTGTAAAAGACTGTTTATTAATTCTGTTTACAGTTTGTTGCAACAGCCATTTTTGGGAGAGAGCTTCAGCGTAAAGCCATTTGTAAAGGCTTTGCCATATTCATTTTAATATGTGCCTGTTGCTGTTAACTTTTAATTAATAAAACAAAATCTTTTCACATTATGCTCCTGTACATTTAAGTTACGACTGAGTCCAGCGTTGTGGAAAGGTACCTAAGGTTGCAGTCAGCTTCCACTGTAAAACTAAGCCAACTTTTGGATTTGAAAATACTAGTCCTCATATGCCAAAATTTATTGCCTCTTGAAGCTTGGCCTTTTACTGTTTGAAAAGCAAATCCTGACTTACCTGATTGTTTCCCTTCTAAAATTGTTTATTCTTTCATGTTCCCTGAAGTAGTATCATTAATCTCAAAGTGGCCATGTTTAAAGAAATAAATTTCTAGTGAAACCATTCTGTTGAACCTGCGTGAACTTCCTTCCTTCGCTGTCAGTGCGAGTTCTTGCTGTTGTCTGACTCCAGCAGAGAAGGATCAGATGGGACAATGAGCTTTGGTTGTAACTTGAAGGAACAGAAAAGCACTTTTTAACAGATTGTCTTTGAAAGGGCAACATTTTCCAGTGGTGTTTGAAGCTGTGAGAACACAGAGGTAAGGACTGTGTGTGAGTAACTTACTACAGAGAAGCTGCAGCTAAGAAGCTTCCCTCCAGCCTGGGCAGGTTTGTAGGGTTAAGTGTGGGAAAGTACTGATTCCTCTTCCATTGTTTTGAATAAAAACATGTGCCAAGACTGCAGCTATTTTCAAAACGACCACTGAAATCATTACCTGATGATGTCTTCTGTGATGCATGTGACTTGGTTTAAAGAGTCTCAACTGCATTTTAAATTTTAGTACTCATTAATTTTTAGTACTCATTGCAGGCTGTTTATAAGCACATTTTAATATCTAATGCAAATTAAGCTTAATGGATTTACAAATAGGTATATAGCAGTATTTCAACATACAGTATTTATAAAGAGCCTGTGATTCTTTCACATTGTGCCATCTTGCTGTCCTCTGCTCTGACAGGAACCAGTACAGTTTGTCAAGGTGCTTAGAGTGAAACATGAGTAGTTTTGTTCTAAGCCACCTTTCCTGGAAAGGGGCTTCTGTCTTTTCCTACCAGACTGGATTTAAAAAGACTGGTTCTAATCCCACCTCTTAGTGTACGTGGAAGGTTCTGACATTAGACTGAATTAAAAAAGCAAAAAAAAAATAGCCTTTTTATTGACTTGTCTCGAAATGCTTTCTACAAATCTACATTGAACTTCAACATTCCTGCAGCTTGAACATTTCATGTGAGAGCTGAGTGTGTCAGGAGCAGGGTCCCTAAAGCACCACGGCCACTCACAGCCCACGGGAGCCCAGAAATGTGCGAGGGGATGGGGGCCAGGTCCCCACCACAGACTGTCTGAATTCACAGATCTACTCCCAGCAGTGTTCACAGACAGATACAAAGAGGCTTCAGGTTATGTCTACGGCCTCTGCCCAACATGAGTGGACGGCCTTAGTTTGAGCACTTTTACTGTGGGCAGTGGCATTGTGCATGTAAAAGATTTCAAGTAGAAAGATACAAATTAGGGTTCAGTATATTTGATGTCAGCTTTGTGGTTTTATTTTCTTGTGCAGATGGCATTTCTTTTACAGTAATTTTACATCAGTGATAAGGCTCACCCCATTTCTGGGCACTGGATACCTCAGTTCAAGCAGGCAATGCCTGGTGTGGGCTTTTCTCATGCTCTAGCCTAGTTTAATAGGTCATGTGATATCCTGAATTTTACATGTTAATTGGACTGCCAGGGGAACCCAGTGTACCAGGGGATGGTTAAACAAGTTCCTTCCTGCTATGTTTGTGGTGAGGCATAAACTTCTCACTGGTTCCTCATACCCTTTTTTTTTTTTGTCACTTAATCTGAATGTAACTAAGTTAACAGTGTGGGGCTTTTCCAGACTAACTCTGTCACTCCTGGTGCACAGCAAGGTAAGCAGACCAGTCCTGGAGGAGATGGAAGTAGGTTGTCACTACATTGATTTACAGTCAGTGTAACAGAATGTAAACTATACTTTACTGTGGCTGTTATCATTTGTAGAGTACCACAAATCAAATATGCCATGTTTATTTTAACTGCTTTTAATTTTATATAGTGGCAATGGAGCATAAAATACAAAAGTTTAAAACACCTTTTTAAAAGTTAATTTTGGTTTTAAGTCATTTAAAAGAACTCAAGGATTGAATGGCCTGTCAGTAAGACTGATGGCAGAGCATTTTGGAAGGAAGTTACGTTGTGTACATATTAACACCATTTCAAGTTCCACCCCAGAAAACCCCCTCCTCCACTGTATATCCTGCATTCCAGTTATAAGCAGCAAAGCTTCATCTCCAGTAACCTCGTCATTCAGTTCTCTTTATTAAATAGTGCTGCTTTTGTCTTTTCCTAGAAAACAGAAGCTTCTAGAGGCAGTTGTACTTGTCCCAGGAGCCAGGATCAACTTAGAGCAGGCTCAGCTTTTTCTACTCCAATCTATGGTCAGAGCAAAGCTTGGCTTCATTTCACAGCATAGCTAAGCTGTAGCTCTGAGCTCCTGAACAGCTTTTTTGTATGTTTAGCTTGAGCCTTTTCTACATCTGTGGCTGGAGCCATGAACTAAGGTGGTTGGTGCAGGTCTGGCAGCAAATAACTGCTGTGGGGAAGCCTCAGAAGGGCTTTCCTTGGAAAGCAGGTTCTGTGCAATGGCTTATCCCATGTCTTCCCAGCAAACAGGACCATGACCGTGTGTGCAGGTCCCAGCTGCCAGAAATTTATCCAAGGACCCAAAACAGCTGGGGAAAAAGGTGTCCACAAACATCCCTTAGAGCAGCAGAGGTGAACAATGTACTTGCACCCCACAGTACTTTGTACCTTTATTTTCTTACCTCCACTGTTTCTCCTCTAATTAACACATATTCTCTTACTATTTTACTCTGCTGCTATCTACTGGCTATTTCATATTCACTGGACTACCTGTTCACAGAGGCTCCCACAGCACGATTTACTCCCTTGTCCTGCACTCTTTATAACGGCCACAGGACGATGTAAGCAGGTTTTACTCTCTTAGCCTTGCAAGCTCATTTGAAACAAACAACCCTGCACAAAAATGTGCTACTACTTAAAATTTATCTGAACTCTGCAGCAGATTCAAGTTTTTCCTTTGTTTCACTAAGAAGCAAAGTGCCTCCAGGTTTTCTTTGGGCTAAAATTTTGCTTAAGTTAAATTTAAAAGAAAGGTTTCAACATGAAAATTTCAGTATCAAATTACACATTGTAGTGCAAGTTACAGGTAGAGCTCAAATAACTGATATTAACTTAAGGGTGTATCACCATCATCATTAACATGTACACAGATTTTTAAGATGGTCAGTTATGCATAAAGAATGCTGTATATATAACTTAGTGTTAATAAACTAAATCCACCATGTAAGTCTGAGGGGAAAGCCAGGCTTGACTGCAAAATTAATACCTGAGTATAATGGTCCAATTTATTCCCCTTGACAAATCACATACAACCACGTTTAGTGCCTCACTTCTACTTCACATTGAGTCTTTCTGTGCTGTAAGAAAGAGACCACTCAGTACTAGTGCTATTTGCAACATAAAATATTTCGGAGAAAGGAGCTCAACAGTCTTTCACGTAGTGATCTGAATTCACTAGGATTTTTCAATTAAAGTCTTCATTTTTCCTGTGGACTTCAGCATGTGCGGCCCAAACTGAAAAGGAAACCAGAAACATGTTCAGATTGCTTTCAACAGAAACCTTGCTGAACTACAGTCCATCCGAGTTGTAAGTAAAAGCAGAACTTGGGCAGAGATAATTTCCTCTATCATCCTGCTCCTCTGCCCGTGGATTTCACAAAGTAAAGGAAAACTTGTGTCAGCAGTTGACTGAAATTGCTCAGATGAGGCAGCTAATGAATGACCTGCTGGAGCAGCTCTGACTAGCAACAGCTCACTCTGCCACAGCAAGAAAAGAAGACAGATGCAGTTATCTTTACAAGTTGACAACCAACTGCTCTAGCACCAGTTTTACAGTATTTCTGTTCTTACTCTACTTTGCCTTTTTGTGCAAGTCCTTTTCAGAATGACCACAGAAAGATATCATACAAGTTTGATGTAAGAAAGAAGGTACATACTGGTAAGTAACTGATGGACAGATTTTATTACCTCATTAAAGGTAATAAATGCTCTATCATCTAGCAAAACCCTGCAATTTCCTTAGCTCTTGAGGACTTGACCCTTAATCTCAAAATGTGGACTGTAAATTTTGAAACTAGAAAGTCATAAAAAACCTCTGTCTAAATAAACATTGCCAACTTCTGTTCTTTTTTTTAAAGCCCCAGAGATGCTGGGGAAAGAAGTGATTAATTCTAGGGAATATCTGGCCTTTTAGTTGTGAAGAACAGCCTGAACATTACAGAAATACACCTTTAAAGGCCAAAACCAGAAGGCAAGTAAGTCAACATCAATTAGCAGAAGTACTCAAAAGTCCTGAGATTTGTGGCTTGGGAATGTTATTTTCCTTAAAACTCAATTCAGAGGTGATCCAGCTTTTGGAGTTTTATCTGCATTTTTTCAAATGTATAAAGGGTTCCATAGCACAAGGCTTCAAGTATTGCTTACAAACAAAACTGATCTATACCAGCTTGTGTTTTAAGTAAGTAAGTGTACATTGCTATAAACTTGTATCTTGAACATTCACTACTTAAAAACCTCTTCAGTTTCAAATCCCTCTGAAATAGAAGTCATTAACTGGTGCCATGATGTGGATTTTAAATACAGTTTCACTTTAACATTCTCACACTATTAAGAAACTGCTCTTATTTACTCAGCATTTCCGATTATTAGAAGAAACTCCCTATACCAAGATCCTGCAGGCATTATGAACAATTTTCTTTCTGCATTCCTAGGAATAGTGACATGGTTCAGGATCTTGCTTCAAAGTTTCACCTCCACTGTCTGAATAGTTAAGGTTGGTGGTAGTAACAGGCAAACACAGTCCATATTTGATTCCAGTATGAGCCCTTAGCAATGGAGTTTTCAGAATATCACATGCTTGTGGCAACAGAAAACACTTTTGTTTAAAAAATAAAAAAACTGTAACAGGACTTTTTAAACCTAGGGCCAAGACAGCACACAGTCCTAAGATTTGAAACTAAAAACATAGGACTGCCACAACTCCTGGCATATCAGCAGTACTTCACAGGGTTTTGTGGATTGGGATGCTAACTTGTGGGTAACTGCATGTGCTGGCAGAAAGACATACTTTTGTTTTCACAACTGTAATTTAATCCAAGCACGTGTTCAGAATCACAGTACTCACCAGCACTACCTCAGTCTGTGTCTTTGTTTCAGTCTTTGGAATCACTTTTTCTATTTCACTTTGGCTGTCATTTCGGTATCGATGAGCAAATTTCTTTTTGAGAGCTTCTGCTATTAGTGCTGCAGGATCTGCAGGGTCAGCCACTTTAGGTTTTGTACCTTCTGAGGATCTAGAGAAGAAAATGAGAAGCATTAACACAGTCCAAAACTTAACCACTTGTGAATGCTTTTGCTTTCTGTTTGTCAGATGTTCCATCAGCAACTGTCTCACCTTGAGGTAGTTCCAAGTCATAAATCATTAATGCAAATGTTAGTATATTGATACTTATTTACATTTATTACCTTTTCACCGAGCGTAGTTTCACACTGTTCATGTCTTTGAGGATTTCTAGCATGTTTGGTACTTCAGACTTCTTTGGCCCGTTTTCCATCACACTCTGGCCAGAGTTCGTTTTTTTGTTTTTCCTTTCTTTAATGAGATCAATGGCAGACTTGCTCTGCTGCAGACCCGAGGGAGGGGGTGGTGGCAGAGGAGGAGGTGGCGGTGGTGGAGGTGCAACAGGGACAGCAGCTGGAGCAAGTGGACTTGACCCAACTACAAATGAAACGAGTGTTACACGTCAGTTTACTTGGAACTCCCCTTTACATGTCACAAATGCCCAGGTAAGAACATCACTGTAATAACTTCAATTGCCTCCCCTCTGCCACCTTAGGATTGTCACATAACTTCTTAATGCTTAAACCACCCAAGCTGAAAAGCCACATAAAAATCCTTCTGGAAGAGTGAGAAACGCCCTTTAAATTTCCAGTTCAAATTCTAGGGGCATTCACGTCTACTGCAGTGGGATGGATGTCACGACAGCTTTTAGTTATCACAGAATCACAGAATATTCTGAGTTGGAAGGGGCCCACAAGGATCATCGAGTCCCTCTCTTAAGTTAAGGGCCCACACAGGCATCAAACCTTGGCATTATTAGCCTGTGCTCTAACCAACTGAGCTTATCTCAGGGTCATGTTCTACCGTTACCAGTATTTCACTTTCTTGTAAGAGGCAGGTACTGAACTGGAAGTCACAATCTGCCAAATGTGAGCAATGTTTCTTCCTACTTACCATCACAAATATGAAATTACCATAAAAGATTTTTAAACATAAATTTCAGAGTTCAAACAGTGCCCAAGTTGAACCTCATACCAGCTCTCCAAGGTTAAGGATTTTTACCTAATCATCTCATCTGGCTGAAGATTGAGATTCTCACAATAATCTTGATTTCAAGTTTCCTGTACAGTTTAGGTAATAAATGAAGGAACCTCTGCTCAAATGCACGTTTAAACAAATCACGAAAACCATATCAAATCAGAGTTTTGAAGCTTGGGTTATAAAGTGTGTAAAGGTATGTATACAGATAATACAGAGGAGTCTATTCTGTTTATGTGCTGCCGAAGACACAGCGTCATTACCACGTTCTACCAGAAGAGGGAGGTAAAGATGATAAAATCAAATAAAAATTTACCTTCCCTAATAAACAGAGGTAAAGGGGAAAAATAAAAATAAATTATTAGTTATTTCACACACCCCTGTTCCCCCCACAATTAAAATCCAAGAGTGAAACTATGTGATCCTTAAAACTATTTCATAGTTTTGAATATGAGCAGGTCAAGAAAAATAAAGAAACTACTATCAGTTCACAGACAAAAGCTAAACAAGAGCATCTGAAGAATCAGAATATGATTTTATACACAAACAAAACTGTACTTGCTAAGTGACTCCAGGAAAGAGTTAAAACCAAATGCCTGTCATCTGCAGTTGACAAGGGCCATCTCCCACTAGTCTTAGAATACTTAAAACTGGAAAGCAGTCAGAGGTGAGGGAAAGAGGAGAAAGAGATTCAGGAAAAGAATTATTCTGTTTACTGCCAGAAATGATGCACCACTTCTGGTTCCATATGGACAATGTGTCTGATCCCAGAGATGATTCCAGTAAACACTTAATTGCCTTTTCTGTTCCTTGTTACGTATATTACATATTCCAAAAGTATAATTAGTATCTTGTATGAATACTTAATGATATCAGAGAGCTTATTTCATGACTGAATGGAAAGACTTCAGTGCTAGTAATTAAGTTACATTCTTTTAGTTTGGTTTAAGCCATCATGTTTATCATGAGCTTTGCTCTGAAAGCTGTTTAATACTACTCTCATTCACAGATTCAGAACTCTGGCAGACTTACACACAGACATGAAGACTTTTGGAATACTGGGAAATACGGAAAATCTGTCAGATCACTTGTCTTCAAGACCTGTTTTGTGTCCTTTGATTAGTGTGCCATGTCTGTCTACCAAACTAACAAAAACAATATGGAGAAGTGCTCAGTGTTGCAGTATCTTACAAAAATGAATTAGCACAGTATTAATTATAAAAGGGACAAATCCATTAACTAATTTTTGCTAAAAGTACAGCAAATTTAATACCTGCTGTCAAGTTCTGCTGTTCTTGCAAGGTTACAATTTTGGCTATTTGTGCTCTTAAAGTGGCCAGTTCATTTTCTAGAGCACTGATCTTCTGCAGTGCTTCTTCATTTGCCATCACTGCACTCCTGGGCACTGGTTCTTCTTCCGGTGGGTTTTGTAAGGACACTTGTCTATATGGAGACCTCCTGGAATGATGTAGTTCCCCTGAGGGAGGCTGGGCTGTTTGTGACCAAACTTCTGATCTGTAACAAAAATATCACAAGCTATTTTAAAGGCTTTGTAATAGATAAAAGCTAAAGCACCGTTACCTACAAACCAGGAATACAAACTGAAAACCTGACTTCAAAAATCTCTTTATGTAAATCACTTCCACCAACACCTTATGTAGCTTAAGGTAAATAAGAGCTTCTCATCCTTTCTGTTTGCATCACTACCTGTATTTCTTCTCTTCCCCAGGCCAGCCTTTTGTAGAATCCTTCATTTCAGAAGAAAAAAGGAATACGTTCCCCCTCACCCCAATCTATTTCTCTATTTCATACCTATTGTATATTTTATTGGAATTAAGATCTTTTTTTTGCCCTCAAATGCCACCATTTTCCCCCATGGGCTGCAAACAGTCACTTGTTGATTCACTTGAAGTAGGAAGAGTTTATTAGTTTCACAGAGTATTTTTTGTACTTTTTTACTTCTGAGGGGACAATCCCCAAGTCTAGCAATGTTGGAAATATGGAGTATGTGAAACAGCTTAGTGATGCAGAGGCTGCTTATCAGTAGATGGGCAAGGGTCATGTATCCAGTTTCCCAACGTAATAATTAGAACTACAGAGAAAAAAAAGTCTTACAGTTTTAAAGAGTCCGTGACCTTCCTTCCTCTTCTCACAAGAAAATGCAACGCTGCTGCCTTCCTTTATTACACAGCCAAGCTCAAGCCATGTTAAACACTGAGGCATTATGGAAAAACTGCTCAGGTAAGTCACATAAGCCCTTACAAAGACACCAACATTGTTAAATGGTTTATCTCAATATGTGAGTAACCTGATTGAGTTGAAGATGTCCCTGCTCATTGCAGGGGGCTTGGACTAGATGGCTTTTAAAGGTACCTTCCAATACAAACTATTAATGATACTATAAGTAGAACTGATAGGGATTGATGACAACAAATCATCATAAACATTAAAACTGCAAAATATGACCACATTACTTGGTGGTCATACCTCAATCCTCCTTAACTTCAATCCCAAAACTTCTCAGGCGTGTCAGGATTCCATTGTTTATTCAAACATGAGAGTAAGAACAGGGACTGGTGATAGGACTTTTTGAAATGTGTAGAGAGGCTCCAGATTAATACAGCCCAAGTGCCCCATCACTTTGGATGCATGGATTAAGCTGCTGTGGATGCTCATCACGTTAAATCTGCAGTTGTGCTACACCTAAAGCAAGAGCCAAGATTTAAGGCTAGAATGAACTCTCACCTCAAACCAGGCGTAGATACAGATTTGAGTCTTCCATGACACTGACAGAAAACATCAGCACAACTTGCAGAAATTTGTTCAAGGAAAACTGAATGTTATCAAGGATGATAAAATTTAGGTGTTGTTACCTAGACAGGAATAGAGAGTAACTAAAGCTGAGAACACGATACTTCCTACAGCAGCCACCTCCTTGCTCTCCCTAAGGTGGAAGGAGCCAGTGGTCACTTCACTCCTTATTACTGCTCTGAGCAGAAAATACCCTTTGTTTTTTAGCTATTCCGCTCCTTTAAAGTTTCTAGAAGGCAGATTTAAGTGTTTTAAGGAAATGTCTTGATTGGAACCTAACACTGTGGAAAAATATTATGCCTGAGTTGTCATTACTGCTCTGACTAGTAGGGGAAAAATGATTCGTCATTGAGTTGCTTCCTCTATAAAACTGCATTCACAGAAGAAAAACGATGGCTGCAAGACTGTTTACTGAATTATACCATGAATAAATATTTAACAGTAACACCTATGTGATCTTGTCGAAACAGAATTTCAAAAGCTTGGAAAACACCTAATGCATACTAGCTCCACTAGTGATACTGTGCACAGACATAATAAACAGGGCACATTGAAATACTCCTATTTGCTAAGTAATTCACTTACATGCTCCATTATAAACTGTTTGCCTTAAGGTCATTATATATCTGCAGGTTTATTTTAGTCCCATCCCACATCCATCTGTCCCCCTTCCCCGCTTCCCAGGCAGACGTTTCAGCAAATATGCAAGTCCTACATCTTTTGTAATAGGTTCTTTGAAGCACCAAAGAGCTATTCTCCCTGTTGTCTCCATTAAACATAATAACTTTACAGTTCAATCCTTAAACAAAATGTTTCTGTGCAAACAAAAGTAGTATTGGGCAGTTAATTTCCTTTGTATCAAATAGACTTCACAAATAGTGTTTCCCAAACAAGTGTTGATTTCTGTGACTCCCCTCTGAGTTTGTGAAATTAATGTGGGCAGTGCCAGAATGTTTGTTATGCAAAGCTTCACTGTATCAAGTCATGTTGGAGGGCATCTAAGTCATTACCTACCTATATCATGCTTTCAAATTAAGAACAGTATCCTCCAGTAATCTCTGAAGCCAACAATCTCTGCCTTTCTCTGGAAGGTTAGTTTATTTAAAACAAAAAGCTCCTCTGCACTACAGAACTGTACCTCTGTTCCAGGCTAATCTGAGCAGCAATTTGAATAGGATGAAATAGAGAACTTCATCCCTTCAGCCAACCCGTGTCATGCAGTGACAGTGCTGTGTAGAACCCTTGGTCCAACACAACAGTACCTATCCCACCATTCCGGACACATGTGCTCACATGCTTCCCTGCCAGTTTTCGTTATGAAGGTTAGAGATGAAACACCAACCACAATTTTTCAATTGTACTTAACAGACTGCAGAGACTTAACTAGAAAGGTGAAAAACGATGTGCTAATTACTAGATTGTCAAAATGACCATTGCTGCTAATGAGGAAGTTGTGCAGTACTGCCCTGGATCTCAGAACTGGAAAACCAGTGTTAGCAATTGTCATACCACAGCAGACATCTCTGTGGGGACAAGGATGCTTGAAGCTACTGCATGGAACTCTTTGCAATACATAAATAAATAAAAATCACAGTCTTCCTTGTATAAAGCCAATGTCCCGTATCTTTTCAAACCAGTCCTTTCACAATCCTGTTAGTCTAATTTCTCCTGTTTCTTTTCAAGACCCTACCCCTGGCTCTTCCCTCTCTCTTCTCCCAGCATTCAAGTGCCCTCAGTTAACTGCAATGCACAAAAGCTTCTCATCAGAGAGAAGTGAGGTTTCTTCCTCTCAGTTCAGGATTTCAGAGGGAAGATCTGAGAAACATACCTGAGTCTTGTAAAGACTTCTCCTTCTTCTTCAGCAACCCAGCCCACATCTGCAAAGGAGGCCACTGCATCTTCTCTAAGTTGAGCAGGACGGTTTCCTTCCGTGACATGAGAAATAAGCTAAATTTTAAAGACAAGATTGAAGGCCTTAGAGTCAACATTCCCAGCCCATGCCACAGTTATTTTATCCAACACTTCTACTGAGGCTACATGTCACTATTAACACATACATGCACAAACACATCTGTAGCCTTAGCACACTTATTTCTGTCCTGGGCTTGGTCCAGAACCATTTCACTGACTTCAAACTATTCAATCTAGTCTGCTGAATGCCTTACAGAGGTTCATGTACTATCACATGAACTACTGAACCCTAAAAATCCAAGGCAAATTGTTACCTTAAAGACAAACAAACATCAACATTCTCACACAGTTTGCTATATTAACTCAAATAGTATGTTTTAAAATTACATTCATGACCAGTCATTAAAAACGACACTAAGGCTACCAGTACTTCTTAAGTCTTTTGCTCTGATTTAGTATTATTTTGAAAGTGAAATTTTGTTGAAGCTTCCCTTTCCCTACAACTTCCAGAATTTCTGTACAAGAAGTATGTACATTGCACAGGAAAAGCAAGCACATGAACAAACGCCAAAACCAGGCAAAGAAGCCATTTCTACTAGCTCAGTAATCACAAAGACTGAGTGAGAGGTAGGATGCAATCATAACATTATATACTATTTGCTAACAATCCTATTTACAACGTGCCAAACAAACTGACTGTTTTCCAGCATGGTTCTGGCCATTAGCTTTACAGCTGTTTGAAGCCAAAGGTGAGCAAGGCTCCAGAGTTTGGAACCTTTCTTAGACTTCAAGCTAAGTGACATAAACCAAGATTTGAAAAATTGCTCGGACCATCAGTACCTGCTCCACAGCCACGACTCAACAAAATGGTTTCAAATCTATTTTGAAATTCTGCTTCCCCGGGTTAGACGAGGGCATGTGTACACAGTCACTGGACTCCTGAGCAGCCTGGGCTCAGTATCTCAGCTGATAAAAGCTACTGAACCAATTTTCAGTAATTTCTTCTGCTCAGTCTGTCACCTTGAGTTACCCATCTCCAACACAACCACGTCCCCTCTTTTCTTGTATTATACAGAATCACAGAATTGTTAGGGTTGGAAAAGCCCTCTAAGATCATCAAGCCCAACTGTTAACCCAACACTACACACAAATCCACAGCCAAATCTGCACCAGTTGTTGCAACTGTTCAAGTGCTGCCTACGGCTAATAGTGACCAAGAGCTGGGAATACTGACAGAGGCAGTGGTAGTAGGTATCAGTCTGTGAAGGCAGCTTGGGTCCAGCCCATTAGCACTTAGGTCAATTTTCAAGGCAAATCCTCTCTGTAAGGGCAAACTACTATGTAGAAGCAACTATAAAATGTTGGCATTAATCTGAATTTGTAGCAGACCCATCACAGTAGGACTGCAGTCTGGATGCAGTGAAACCATTTCTCAAGAATATCCACACATACTTTAGTTGTAGCCTAAAGACACAAGTCCCAGGAAGAAAGAAGTTGTGGAACTGGGGCTGTTTTTTCCCCAGGAGTTGTTACAAACAGCTTTAGAAATTGAGATTAGTCATCTTCACCTCACACTCTCACAACTTGTATGTGAGCCTTTATCACAGTTCCCAGGAGTGTGTATTGGCACCATCAGATCATTTGGAAACAACAGGGTTTTTTCCAGGTAGCATCAGCACAGATGGTAATATGTTTATCACATTAACAGTTGTGCCTAATACCATTACAGTCTGCCTCTCTTTGAAACAGTCTAGAGAATACTATATTGCATGTTAGGATTTTTGCTGTTTGATGTGTCCTTGGCTTTTTGCTTTTTAAAAATAAATTGAAATTTTCATGACTGCAGCATTTGTATTAATGTTAATGGCAATTTTAAAAATCTGTAATACATCAGCCACTTCTTGCAGGTGATACAGATTTTCCTGACAGTAATGGCCACATGAGGAACTATTACCATTCGAAGACTGAAGCCAAATTTAAATAAAGGCACTACACATACTTGAATCAAATATAATTTTATAAATCAACAGTAAGGAAATACATTTATCACTGCCAGATTTCCTGAATTGTGAGATAAATAACTTCTAATTCAACATTTAGGAGCAACCCTTCTGTTATATTATGATACAAGTTTCTTCTTACTTTTTTATTCATATTTATATGTAAGCAGAATATGCTTGTTACCCCATATACAGATGTTTCTTTCCTCAATCCCTAAAGACAACAAAGCCTTCCACAGCAGTAGATTTTGAATTTAAGTTAATGCAAGATTTTTAATTTAAAGGTTAAAAGCCAACATCCATCCATCTCTTAAAAACCATCACCTGCCTGTAAACAACTCTGTGACTACCCTATTCCTCCAGTCAATTCCAGCTGAAGAAAACTCTGTCGACTGCTCTGCCAGCACCTGATATGGAGAACAGAGCGCTGAAAACAGAGTCCCAGTTCTACTGGATGGCAGGAACTGAAAGAATCAGTAAAGTAGGCTGCTTTTCTTTCTCTGCAATCTACATACTTGCTTCCCCCACTTCGTCCTGCACAGGCTTTTTCTGCCGATTGTACGCTGCACACACAGACACACAAACACACACGCCTGGCGGTTTCAGACTCGGCACGAATGTCTGAACATTACACACACTGAACTGTTTTGACTGTCACGGAATCAACTGAACTGTTTTGACTGTCACGGAATCACAGGATATCTCGAGCTGGAACGGAGGCATAAAGAATCATTGAGTCCAACTCTCCGAGAAAGAGTCAGCCTCGCCAGTGTTTCCGCCCGGTTTCGAACCGGGGACCTTTCGCGTGTTAGGCGAACGTGATAACCACTACACTACGGAAACGCTGCCTGGGGACGTGTCAGGGCAGGATCCGCACTTTCTGTTTGCTCCAGAAAGTGCAAAGTAGAACAAATACTTTTATGCTTCTAAGGACAGAATAAAACTCTGTAGTTTCAAATTAATAATACAGTTATGTAGTAGACATTTGGAAATACTTCTTCAAGTAAGATGAACTTGCTATGATTTTTCAAATTAGCCCATAAATTCAGATGTTTGCTACGTGCACACCAGTTCCTTAGGAGACTTTACTGAGTTATCAGGTATCCATCAGACAGACAGGAGAAGCGTGGGACTAAAACAGAGATACTGTAGCTGAAGGATACTGTCTTCAGAGACACTCCTGTAGGTTTGGTTGAATCTACCTAGGCTATACTGATAAGTTTATTTTTCCTAAAGACTACAGATAAACCTAAAAAATATGACATACAAAAGAACTGTATCAACCATTTAGAGTAGTAAGGTAAGCTCTGCTGCCTCTTACTGAATACTTAAGCAGCATTTAGCAATTAATTTAAATGTTTACTGTGGCAAGATCCATAGAGACAGAACAGTCAGCAGACCCCAAACATCAAAATGTTAAGCTACCATTCTTTTTTTTTCCAGACCAGCTGAACAAACGCACGCGAGAAGATAAGTATGAACATTACAGAGATATTCATTCAGTATCTTTCATCCATTTATCATAAAGAAAACGAGGACTTGAGGACAGTTTGCTGCTCTGGGGTTAGAAACAGTGATTACATACATGCACGCTGAGATGAGGCAAGTAAGATTTGATTTGTTTTTTCAAATAAAGTGACTTACAGCAAGGTTCAGTGCATGGTCCTTTCATAAAATAGCTAAAGCTGGCAAGAAAGAAAGAGGAAGAGACAGCTATAGGAAAGCATCAGTTGCAACAGCATGAAAACGATCAAGATCAGGATTGAACTTCACTACAGAATCTTAATGCTGAGATAAAGACACAAAAAACAGATGTTAGCATCAGGTTACATGTTCAACAGTTTATATATTAAAATAGTTTAATGCCTCCATAAACCATATAACTTTTAATGTGTTTCAAGGCTCAAATTTTGAAATTCCTTTTTCTAACTAAATCAACTCTGACAATTGTACTTCTATTTTTAGGATCCTTTCCTTTCATCTAATAGAAGGTGAACGCTTAGACTTAGTGTGCATGCAAAGCTGACTGAATGTCTCTTTAAGAGGTAAAAAAGGCAAATATTATATTTAACAGAATTCAGACCAAAACATGTATATATATTTATTTATTTGTTTGTTTAAACACTAAAAATATTCAGGAACAGTTTCACCAGATATATCTTACTGTTCTTTGCAAGGACATTAACCAGAAATGTCTTCTTTTATGTACCATATTAAGAGAAGGTAGTATTTGGCAAACTGACTGCAGATGAGCATGATCTTCCCTTGTATAGCCTTTACAGTACAGCAAATCAGACACATTATAGGAGGACTTCACTTCCTTTCAAATCCGAGGCACAGGCAGCCCTATTGCTGGCAAAACTACTACTACTGCTACTTCAAAAGTTTAAATGCAGCACACCATTTGTTCTCCTTCTCACTTGCACGAATTCCCATCCCCCCCCCCTTATTTTTTAAGTTTCACCAAACCACTATAAATGTGAGACAGCTGCCCCTCCACTCCCCCGTTTCTCAATGTACTTATTTAAGAGAGGCAAAATGGCTTTTACTATGACACCAACAAGGCTTCTATGGTCATCTTAACTATCTAGTTTTGCTACTGTAATTTCAAGCCTAAATATTGCTCTTACATTTCATTTAGGATAAAGAAATTAATTTAAACACTGAAAAATTAGCTGTGTGGAAATTACTTCATCTTAGTGTGGTAGATGATTCCCTCCATTCATCTTTATGCTTCCTGCCCTTGCTCAGCCCATGAAACATTCCTCCCAACTTGAGAGTCAAGTACTAAATTTTTCCAGTTCTATACCCACCCCTACCCCCCTAATACAAACACAGAGTTGAAGAAATCATGTGTAACAGCTTCCACTTTCCCATCTGTTCCTGAAAGACTCATTATAAAAAGCATGGGTTTTCTCTTCCTTGAGTTTTTTACCCTTGCTCTTTCTTTACCCTCCCCTTTCACCTACACAGCCTTGTATTTTAAACAAAAGCAAACAGAGTACTCATGTTATTTTGTTACTAATGTCTTATTTTCTGATAAAGTTGTTCATTTTCCCAAATATTGTTAACACTGTTCATCTTTACGTGCCTCTTAAGCCTAGCTTGTAAGTACTGTTTATAGAAATAAGTTTCAAAAAATTTTCTCTTTTATGAATTTTTTTTTTTCAATTCAGTTGAACTGGAAGCAGGAAGAACTGAAGTAGGCTAATTCTCCTATGTCTAGTTTATCACATTCTGCTTTTACAAACCTTCTAGTCAGGAGCAAATACCTTTATCAGTATAGTGAAACACATATTCTAAACTGTTGAGGACACCTACCTGAAACTGAACTCTTGGACACTGTATAAGAGAGAGGTTACTACCAATTTTTCTTACAATACTTCGAGATGAACCATAAGGCTTGCTTGACCAAAGCACCTGGATGGGGAAGAAAAAAGAAGCCAACTGTTAGGGAATGGATTTTTATATCATATTGTAATAGTTCTCCCTTATCCTTCATACTATGCTTGTGCTAACTGTATTTAGTTATTCCTTTCATGCTAGAACACAATACAATGTATATACACTGAAATCTGTATCAGTGAACTCCTTACATCCTATACCTGAATTGATACAAGATTTCTTCATGTCATTACAATATAGCTATGGCTACTTAAGGTCAAGACAGCCTTTGCATTAAGTTTACACTCAAAGCAATAAATCAGGTAACACAGAAGGATTCAAGAGTTAGGAGCATCTTCAAAAACATAATTTGTTGATTTTCAAGACAACAAAGAACCTACATCAGGTCAGACAGCTCTTTTTATGGGATTTCAAGAAAAGACACTCAATCATCGAGAACTCCATAAAGTTATGTAATTCTACATGTCCCAATATCTCTCTTTTCTTTTTTAATTAAGAGCTGTTCTAAAACAAGAATAGTGTCTACCAGTCTTAATAGAAAGAACTAAACTATAAGAAACATGAAAGTGTAACTGTGAAATTAAAGAGTAAAGGAAAGTAAAAAGGGGAAAATAAAATGAAATTTTTCTAAGAAAGAAACTTTGTCCTAAAAAACCCCACCCAAACATTCACCTATAGAAAACTACCCATGGCACCTCAACACACCTTGCTTCATCAGAACTGTTTCCACTGCAGTTTAGATTTCCTCCACATTGTTTCAACGGGGATTAAATTTCCTTTCTTTTGTTGTATTTAATGTTTGCTCTATTATTTACCATAATTGCACGAAATGAAATAAAATGGGACTTTAATCCTAGGAGAATACTACAAAATGAACCAGAATAAAAGCAAAAAGCACCAGAAAGAAGTATGAAAGATTTCAGCACAGGGAAAGGCAACAAAAACAATGCAAAGAAGAAAAAGAATAATGACAAGACTCTAACACAGGGTACATTGTTAGTAAACAATTAGAACACTGTATGGTAATTTAAAAACTTGGCCAGTGTTTACTTATGGCTGTAAATATGAATTTACCACTGAGACATTTTAAAGGCTCATAGCTTCAAGCAAACTCAACATCCTGTTAGAAGGTTGCCTGACAACAAACACTTAGATAAAGTCCAGGCTATTAATACTGAAACAACCCTCATCTGGCACAGGAGTATTGCCTGTATTGCACTGTAGTACAGCTGTGGGAGTTACTCAGCACACAGCTAAACTATACACAGCAGATATGCTAAGCAAGAATCACTAGTCTTAGATGCTGAAGGTTCTATTAAAAAGAAAACGTTATGCTTCCTGGTATTTATCCCCAGATTATCTCAGAAACTTTACACAAACATTTTGCCTATTTTTAAACAAGTATCTTTCCTTCCTCTGGCTTTAAGAGAATGTAAAAATGTTGACAAAATAAATGTGCTCTGCACATATGCTATGCTATATCCTCACATCAGGGCTACAACTTTGCCACAAATCCACTCAGATCTAATTTTTTTCAGTCTATGAAACATACATTCTGTTGCTTAATACTCTGCTAAGTTTGAACACAAATGTTTCAATGCAGAGTATTGATTCTGTAGTTTGGTTGCCCCAACAAAGACCTCAAGTTTGTGACTATCACATGATTGTTTGTTTGTGCCTGAGCAAACAGCAGGTAGATCAGTAGCCTTCAAGAAAAAGTCACTGACAAACAGTACCACAGTAATACAACTGATTCTGGTGTCTGAAGCAGAAGTGTTGGAGATAGACCCAAAGTGATGTGGCATTGGAAAAAATAATACCAGTCAAGGGAAGGCTTAATTAATTACAGAAGTATTTCCACAACAGCAAGAGAGCCCAGACTACATGCTGTCTTACCAACATAAGTGCAGTGCATTTTAAACAAGTGGCAAAACTTGTTCAGAGATTGCTCAGACCACAGACAAGATGTTGACTAGCACCCAGATACTCAAAAATATTTGGTGCCCAAATGCCCTCAGGGCTCTTCAACCACAGTGGCCTGGTGCACCAAAACTTTGAATGACCCAGTTTTGGTAATTCAAGATGTGCCAGGACAATATTTTCATGCAAACTGTGCCACAGGGTATGCAAGTAAAGTCAGTGCACTGCTCAGCTCAGCTACACAGTCTCAGCACTGCTCTAACCAAGTTCACACAGCTTCTTGTTGACTTGAAGCACTGGCAGAGCAAGTCTGCAAAATATTACTTAGTCATACACTCTTATTGCATCAGTGTTTTGCTAATGTCCAGAACAGCTGACATTTGGAAATGTAACTGCATTATCACAAGCTTGATATAAGTAGAGAATGGGGACAAACAGACTAAAAACTCGCTCCTCTCCCTATTTAGGCTGAAATTGCTGAATTATGCAGCAACACTCATGGTAATGCTACATATTCTTATACTTTGAATTTTCAAAGTTATATAAAAATCTCAGATCAAAGTTCAAATAAAATCCCAAAATACAGATTCTTGTTGGCAATTTTAATTTGGTATGTATAAACGTTTTGCTATCCACAGATTCCCAAGACTGATAAAAGGTTCTAGCACAATAATACAGAGTAAGCACTGCACGTAGCTGTTAAGGATTTCCCCATTGTTAAAACATTAAAATATTTTAACAACTTACAGGGATTACTGCACTGAGGCCAACACTTGTACTCAAAATAGCTTCCTAAAGGTCCCAGCGACAAAGCACTTCATGTACAGCAGCTCTCTCTCTCTCTCTCTCTGCTGAGCATTCAAAGAAAACTACATACACACTTTCCTCCAAGAGGAGAGCTATGCATGCACATTCCTTTGTTCAGCCACTGCAGAACACAGCTGTCTTGCTCTCATGTATTTTAACACTTTCAGAAATAGGTAAATATAGCACAATTATAATCATCTCAGTTTCATGGGGCTTTTTGTATCTCCAAGGTAAGAGCAAGAAACATTTTTTTTATCACTGAAAGTTCTCCTTCAGCTTCAAAACACACATGGAAGTCCAGCATGAAAAGCAGTGTTTACAAAGTAAACAGTTTGTTATTAGAGCTAGAAGGAACTGCATAGTTCTTTTAACACATACATTACTCAATACTTCAGTGTTCAAGTTGTAAACTTCATGATTTTTCAGCAATGCAGAATCAGTACTGAGTGTTCTGCTACAACTGACAAGCACAAACTAAAATACATGAAGTGCTTTCTATACCTGATTTTCTGAAAGCATAAAGGAAGTTTGAAATACTTACTGATTCCATCTTCAATCCAACTTGTTCAAATGCCATCCTAATTAAGCGCTTAAGCCAGCAAATCATCTGGAATGGAAAAGGCCTTTCCAAACTTGGATTTAAGCCTTCCAAATCTACAGGGCTGCCGAGGTTCCATAGTAGTTCTGAAATGAGACACAAGAATTTTAGATGCATGTTGTGGAACATACACAGAAGTAAACTGCTACATGTATTCCTAAAAAAACAAGCTTTAGAAACAGTGAAAACAAGACACATTAGATGACACCAATTCCTCGTACTGGAAAGCAAAGGCATTCAGAAGGCATTTATTTACTCAGTACAGGTAACAAAGACTTTTTAGAAGGGTCATTTTTATGGAATCCTAGAATGGTCTGTGTTGGAAGGGACCTTAAAAATCATCTTTTTCCAACACTCCTGCAATGGGCAGGGACAACTTCCACTGGACCAGATGGCTCAGGGCCCTATCCAACCTGGCCTTGAACACTTCCAGGGATGGGGCATCCACAGCTTCTGTGGGCAACCTGTTCCAGTGCCTCACCACCCTCACAGCGGTACGTATCTAATCCAAACCTGATCTCTTTCAGTTTAAAGCCCCTTGTCTTATCACTACATGCCCTTGTAAAAGTCCCTCTCCAGCTCTCTTGCAGCCCCCTTCGGGTACTGGAAAGAAATCAAACCATTGTAAAGTTAACATTTAAAAAGTTGGGGAAATGATTGCTCACTTGAGCTTGGACAGATGATGGTGTTTGACAACTCCAGGTGAGCATCAAGCCCCATGGAACACCTGCAGGTGCAGATCAGCACTACGATTCAAGTGCCATACCATATCTAAAACTCATTTCTATGCAGGAACTGACTGCAGAAACCTGACCACCTCTCTTGATTCACATTCTCTGACAGCGTTGTTGTTTATTCCTTTTTTTTTCTACAACTAAAGAGAGAAAGGAAACATGGAAAAATGACTAATGCAAGAAAATGACAGGAAATACTGTAGTGTGGGAATTGAAAATATTCAAGCAGTTTATAAAGCTGGACAGATTTCAAATTTCGTCTATTTATATTCACTCCCATTCACTTAAATCAAGATGGTTTTATTGCTCCTTTAGTGAAAATAGTATAATTTTTCTTTAGCTGTGTTCAACACCAGTCATAACTTGGATGTCACTGAGAAGTGTATCCACCAAAACCAGAAAAGGAAGTCATGGATTTGGGTTTACGTTTGTTTTGTGTATCAGGCTGGAAACAACACTCTGTTGAACAGAGTTCCTGAGGAACATATTTGTAGTATGAACAACGGCATTGCTGAAGCCACTCTGAACCCAGACAGTGATGACTAAAGCAGTGTAACAGCAAGGAACCGGTACTCGGGAAGTTTGAAAGCCAGGAGATGGAAAACCGATGCTGTTTGAAACTGCCCACAAGCCCTACAGTTAAACCATCACTGTTTCCATCACAAGTTTTTTTTCAACAGTTTGTGGTTCCTTAGTAATAACCTACTTCTCGTGGAAACTTGGCAGAAGCAATGCAATTCTACAGTTATCTTTTTTTAGACAGGTTTAAAAAAAAAGTTGATATTAAGTGTCTCATCTCCACAGATAATAAAATACATTTCCCAACAGAACTTTCTTTTGTTTCTGAATAAACTAGGAAGAAACTACTAATCTACACCACGAGATTAGAATGGAAATTGCAATTGTTATAAGAAAAACAATAGGGAAGAATAATAGGCTACCTATCAAACAGCCATGAATACAAGCTACAGTCATTCATCATAAATAAATAAGACAGGGACTTCTTTATGGAACTCTGGAGAAGTCTGTTAGGGAAGCATGACCATCTACTTGATCTATTATTCCTTCAGGCATCTGTTATTCTTCCCTTAGACATTCTACATTATGGACTGTGTGGATCTTTGATCACATTGCACCTGCTGTGTTCTTAAAACAGGAAGAACACAACTCTTTCTATGTGCCCCACATTAGATATGGCATCATATCTACATGGCACTGTAGACATGCAGTGACATAGAAGAGACAGGAATGCTCCTTTAAAAGGGGAAACCTGATCCAAAAGCATGATACATGTGATACACTCCACCTCACTTCAAAGTCTAGACTTGTTGAACATGTACTGTCGAAATCAAAGAGAAGAAAAACGGAAGCTGTGTCAAGACATTCAAACAAAAGAGAAGAAAAGGCAGAACACTCCTGAGCAACTGCAAGGCAGGGCTGGCTGAGAAAGGCAAGTGAAAGGACTAAAAGGAATGACTGCATCCTGATACATTGCTCCTTCAACAGATAGCCAGGTTATTAGTTTAAACATCCCCAGACAAAGTCAGGCAGGTGTTGTTTCAGGAAGTGAAGAAAAGGTATTATTTTGTTTCTGATCAACTGAGATACCCCAGTCTTTAATAACAGAAACAGTTCCGACAGAAGTAAAAAGAGAGTGTTAGAACTTCCTCTGAGAAAATCAGAGGAGGTTTAGAAAGTTTCCATGAATTTAAGAAATTTAAAGGCAAAGAGGTAAAGGACCAACACAAAAACTGGCAAAACAACCCATTAAAGGCATAAACCAGATGTAGAAAAAGGTAGCATAATATGAGGATGACAGAATAGTATAAATAGGAAATAGTAAGCTAAAAAAGGCTAAGGTACAAAATGAGTTCCAGCTTACAGACATAAAGAAGTCCTACACATGTATTGGCAGTAAGAAACAAGAGATACAGCCACAACGTAACAAGTGAGGAAAGAAAGCAATGAGAGATATGGATAGTCAGTATATTCAGTGTTTTAATTTGAGGATGGTAGAAAAGACAGACAGATAGTGGAATGGTTTATAGATAGCTCTGAAAAGTTATAAACATCCAGTATGTAGAGAATTTTACCTTGCAAAGTATAGAAAACAGCCAAAGCGATTTCTGAAATATTACTGACGAATTTTAGAGACTTGTTCAATGAAATCCAAAAGATCCAGGAATAAAAGGAGCATGATGACACAAAGCATTGGAAATAGTCCAAAACACCTATCCTGCCCTAAAACATTAAGGTGACCTTCGATAATTCCAGGTTCCAAGACTTTGATGATCGAGCACAAAAGAGCATGCATTGAACAAAAGAACCAGTTCAGTAAAATGAATATTTATAGTTCACTTTATAAGTAATTTTTAACTCTGTAGCCTAAATACTTCAAGTACCTAAGACTGGGGTCATCAATGCCTTGCTGATGTGAATGACCTGCCTGCTTTTGCAGCAGAAAGTGACTGAAATCAGTCTGTAAGAGTGCAGAGTACCACCCAGTTCCTGAAATAGTTTCCTTAGTTTATGGTACTAAGGAAAACCACTATGTTTGAACAACCTCCAGCTAATCGGTTATCTAAAAGGAAAAGGTTTTTAAGTAAATTAGCTTGATATTTTTATAAAATTATTAGTTCTACAGAATTATCCCCGGGGCAAACTTCCTACTCATTTCTTTCAGACTATATTCAGACACCTTTCTTCACCGAACTTAGATATTTCATAATTGGTTTATGCGCCAAGAACGGACAGAGTTCATTCCAAAAGAAACTGCTGGACAGCAAGAACGAAAGTGTTAGCAAATTCTTCTCTCCTGCTCTGTATACATGCCAATTTCAGAAGCAGGAGTTCAATGTTAATGCTTTTAGTAATAATACCTCTTCTAAAATACTGACCCTTGTGGTATTTATCATCTGTTTTCTTGGTGCTACCTACACTAAAAACAGCAGAAGTTGAATTCCCCCCCCAAATTTCCACAACTCAATTACTACAATAAAGAGCCCTGAGTAACAATACTATTGCTATAAAAATTGGTCCTTCTGCTCTGCCTCAGCAAAATTATTACAAGCATAAGCAGCAGTCACAGACAAGATTACCAAGAGATTCAAAGAACAACAGCACAAAGAATTACATTTCACTGCAGGAAGCACAAAGGGATTGGAATTTCATGGGTTCATTTAAATAAAACCCCAAAATTAGCAATGCTGAAGAACTTTCTTTCTGATATGGAAATATGCAGGAATTCCCTCATTTAGAAATTAAGAGGCCTACATTTCCAAGTGTAGGGATTCTCATTTTAGCCTCCTTGAGCTCTCTTTTGCCCCTACTCTTCCCAATCACTTTTGCAGGTTTCATTCAATACTGTCATATCAAATATCAAGTCTTACAAAGCTGAGAGATAACACCACTTTTAAATTACAAAATGTTCATTAAATAAATATAAAGGCTTTGGAGTCTGTACACGTACATTCAGTAAATAAGAACATTCAGTACATAAGAACTTTCTAGTGAGTCCTACACATGAAAGATGAAAAGAAAGAGAAATCAAATGCAACTGCTTTTAAATTGAAACTCTTCCATGTATATTTTCCATATTTGTCCAAGTCCCTTTCAAAGCATAAGTTCTCACTCTTAAAAAGAAATATGACATTCATATTTTTCCTACTGAAGGAAGTTTCTCTCACTCAATATCCACACAAAAATAAAAGAGAATGACTTAATGGGCTTGATGGAGCAGATCAGCTTTAACAAAGAATAAACACGGGCATGAAATCTGAAAAATTAAAGGTCTAGTCTCTAAATTGAAAGGGTATAACATAAATAAGCACAAAATTTTCAAAGAAGCATGGGTTCAAAGGAATATCACCAACAAAAAAAAAATCAAACACAAAAAGATCAGGCTCCTCATTATTTCAGCAAGAACTAGGGCAAGCATATCTCCCCAGTCTTTTAGGCTGACACATGAACCAAGCTCATCTAACGAAATTATAACCATAAGGAAACATATTTAAAAAGTAACAAAGAAAGATAAAGCCAACAAAACATTATCACAGCAACAGCCAAAGGGGCAGGAGCAATCCTCTGACAAAGGACCAGATCCTTTCCCAAACTGACGCAGACCAGTTACAAGTTATTTAAGTATGTGTTTGTCAGAGGTCACATAGCCAAAAACAGGTCTAATTTTTGGTGTGGAACCCACAAGTAATGAAGCACCCAAGTACTTTCAGAAACACCTGTTTGGAAAGATATGCAGAGACAGACAAAAGTCAGTGAATACTGCAGAGACAATCAAGGGCTTATCTAAACTAGTACCAGCGTGAAATCTAAAGCAGGAATTGAAAATTATACATA